TCCTGATCCCATAGCCCTGTCCTGGTCTCCATAACCCTCTCCTGATCCCAGAGCTGTGTCCAGATCCCATAGCCTTGTCTTGATCCCAGAGCTCTGTCCAGACCCCATAACCCTGTCCAGACCCCATAACTCTGTCCTGGTCCCTGAGTTCTATCCAGACCCCATAGCCCTGTCCTGATCCCATAGCCCTTTCCAGACCCCATAGCCCTGTCCTGATCCCATAACCCTGTCCTTGTCCCATAGCCCTGTCCTGATCCCATAACCCTGTCCAGACCCCATAACCCTGCCCTGGTCCCTGAGTTCTATCCAGATCCCATAACCCTGTCCTGATCCTATAACTCTCTCCTGATCCCATAACCCTGTCCTGATCCCATAACCCTTTCCAGACCCCATAGCCCTGTCCTGATCCCATAACACTTTCCAGACCCCTTAGCCCTGTCCTGATCCCATAACCCTGTCCTGATCCCGTAACCCTTTCCAGACCCCATAACCCTTCCCAGACCCCATAGCCCTGTCCTGATCCCATGACCCTTTCCAGACCCCATAGCCCTGTCCCAGGTGTGCCACCCCACAGAGCCCCGGGCTCTGCAGGATCCCAGCACCCCAGCCCTGTCCCAGCTTTCCGGGATGGCTGCAGACCCCGGGGCAGCAGGGAACCCTCCCGTGGCCTCGGAGCTCTTTGGGGTTTGCCACCACCACGGGTGGGGGTGAGGAGGAACCAGCCTGGAGTGGGATTTTCCAGCCCAGCAGGGTTTTGGGAATCAGGAGTTGTGAAATCATGGAATCACAGAGAAGAGCTCTGGGACTCCTGAGCCCAACCATTCACTGCGAGGCCACCACTGCCCCGTGTCCCCAAGTGCCACATCCACAGGGATTTGAATCCCTCCAGGGATGGGGATCCCTGCCTGTCCCAGGATTTGGATTTTCCCAAATATCCAACCTGAACTTCCCCTGCAGCAGCTGTGGGTTCAGCAGAGCAGCATCCAGCCCATCCCATGGATTTTTTGGGATGCACATACAAATCCTGCAGGGCTCAGGGCTTGGCCAGACAGCTGCTGGCACAGTGACCCGAAAAAACGCTGAAATAGAAAATGCAACCAATCCTACAGTTTCCTGTCCCTTCCCGTTCGGGTTTTGCTCGGCTAAATCTCTCCTGAATCAGCCTAATGTCTCTCCTGAATCAGAAATGTCCTTTAATGAAGTGCAGCAGGGCTCTGGCTTTATTTCCCAAGCTCCAGCAAGGTTTAATCCCTGCCTCTCTAAGCCATGTATGCTTTAAGGAGATTTTTTACTCCCTGGCATTCCACGCCTGTTGTGTTTTAAACTGTCACCGGTTTAGTTTAGAGCCCCAAAATGTTGGTGGAACTGCAGGGTGGAGGTGGGAGAGGGGCTTAAAAATAACCTCAGAGCAGGGTAACCCATGGACCGAGTTCTCCTAGAGAGGCTGGAGGTGTCCCAAAAAATTTGGGAAGGGTCTGGGGGTGATGAGCACCCTCGGGGGTGATCCCAGGGCACCCCACAGGCACCAGGAGTGGATTTTGCTAATTAGTCCTGGCTTAATTTGGGCAAACTTTGTGCTCTGTTTGGTGAAGCCCGGCCTGGAGTGAGCCAATCTGCAGGAGGAGGAAAAGCCCTCCTGGCCTCTCTGTTCTTCCCTGGGAGAGCCCCACTCGGGGGGGATATTAAAGGCTTTTGTTTCCAGGAGCTGTCAAAGCCCTCACCTTTCACAAGCACTAAAACAACCCAGGGAAAAAAAAATAAAAAGAAAAAAAAAGAAGAAAAAATAAAAAGATCTGCGAGTGGAATAATAATTGTGGAGCCATAAATCTGAGCCTGTAAATCAGGGATTGACGGGGCGGTTGCTGTAATGTCTTGGGAGTTCACGTTTGAGGGTTTCTTTCACCTGAGGAAAAGAGAGAAGAAAAAAAATAAAAATCCCTGAGTCTGTGCCCTTCCACTCCAGGGGTGCTGTAAATCACCTTAATGTTACACCCTGGCTCTTAAAGAGCCCGAAAAGAGCGGAGAGGGAAAGTGGCTGAGTGAAAGGGGACAGGGAGAAAGCTTGGATTCCATCAAAACCACCCCAGGGAGCCAAAGAATTCCCTGTTAAAGGCATAGGGCAAATCCTTCACTCCCCGAGGGACAGGCTGGGGACAGGATGGGGACAGGCCCGGGACAGCCTGGCTGCTGCTGGAAAACCAGAAGGATTTTCTAGGATCAGCCCGTCTGCTTTGGGATTTGGGGGAACACGAGGTGGGAGCAGAGATGGGGAAGGGGGATTGGGGTGATGCTCAGAGGATGAGAGAGCCCCGGGAAAGGCAGGGCTCGCCTGGGGAAAGGCAGAATTCACCTGGGGAAAAGTGGGATTCACCTTAGGAAAGGCAAAATTCGCCTGGGGAAAGGCAAAATTCGCCTGGGGAAAAGTGGGATTCACCTTAGGAAAGGCAAAATTCACCTGGGGAAAGGTAAAATTTATCTGGAGAAAGGCAGAATTCACCTGGGGAAAGGCAAAATTTCCCTGGGGAAAAGTAAAATTTATCTGAAGAAAGGCAAAATTCACCTGGGGAAAAGTGGGATCCACCTGGAGAAAGGCAAAATTTCCCTTGGGAAAAGCAAAATTCACCTGGGGAAAGGCGGGGCTCACCCGTTCTGCGCGGCCACAGCACCACAGCCCTGCCTGCAGCCTCCTCAGCTCTGCCCTGGGCTAATTCCTGTGGGAATTCTCTCGGGGAAGGAGGTGAGACCCCTCAGCAGGAAATGTTCAATCCCATCGCTTTGGAAAACTCGTCTGGGAACAGCATCCGGCAGTGCCTGTGCCCTCCAAAGCGCCCAGCAGCAGCCCAGGAGGGGATTTTGGGGCAAATCCAGCCCTAGGAGGGGATTTTTGGGTGAACCCAGCCAAATCCCGCAAATCCAGCATCCGGGGGAAAACTGGAGGGGGTTTTATTTCAGCAGAAGGGAACGTCTCGCTGCCTCCATCCGGGCCAAGCGTCGGGCAGGGCATGTGGGGCATCCCAAAATGCACATCCCTGCCAGCAGCGGGCCCGGGCTGGGGCAGTGGCACAGCCTGAGGAGCTCCAGGACCACCCCCGGCCCGACGAGAGCCGCAACATCCCGCAGCATCCCCCAGCATCCTCCAGCATCCCCAAACATCCCGCAGCATCCCCCAGCGTTCCACAGCATCCCCAAACATCCTCCAGCATCCCCAAACATCCCGCAGCATTCCCCAACATCCTCCAGCATCCCCAAACATCCTCCAGCATCCCCAAACATCCTCCAGCATCCCCAAACATCCCGCAGCATCCCCAACATCCTCCAGCATCCCCAAACATCCTCCAGCATCCCCAAACATCCTCCAGCATCCCCAAACATCCCGCAGCATCCCCAAACATCCTCCAGCATCCCCAAACATCCTCCAGCATCCCCAAACATCCCGCAGCATCCCCAAACATCCCGCAGCACCCCCCAGCGTTCCACAGCATCCCGCAGCACCCCACAGCATCCCCAAACATCCCGCAGCATCCTCCAACATCCCGCAGCATCCTCCAACATCCCGCAGCACCCCCCAGCATCCCGCAGCATCCCCCACCATCCTCCAGCATCCTCCAGCATCCCCCAGCATCCCCCAGCACCCCGCAGCATCCCCAAACATCCCGCAGCACCCCGCAGCACCCTCCAGCACCCCGCAGCATCCCCCAGCACCCCGCAGCATTCCCCAGCACCCCGCAGCATCCCCCAACATCCCGCAGCATCCCCCAGCACCCTGCAGCATCCCCAAACACCCCGCAGCATTCCCCAAACACCCCGCAGCACCCTCCAGCATCCCCAAACATCCCGCAGCATTCCCCAACATCCCGCAGCATTCCCCAAACATCCCGCAGCATCCCCCAAACATCCCGCAGCATCCCCCAAACATCCCGCAGCATCCCCCAACACCCCGCAGCATCCCCAAACATCCCGCAGCACCCCCCAGCATCCCCAAACACCCCGCAGCATTCCCCAACATCCTGCAGCATCCTCCAGCATCCCCAAACACCCCGCAGCATCCCCCAGCACCCCGCAGCACCCTCCAGCACCCCGCAGCATCCCGCAGCATTCCCCAGCACCCCGCTCCCACCGCAGAGGGCTGCCCGCCTTTCCCACATCCGTCTGTATAAAACAACAACGCGTGACCCGAACTCAGCGCCCCCAGCAAACAACCCCCGCACCTCCACAAAATACCCCTGCAACCCTACAAGGTGCAGCTGTGGCCCAGCCCCAGCCCGCATCGCTCATTAAGCGCCCGGAGCCGGCGTTATTATCTGAGCGTTCCCCCGGCCCCCTTCCCCAGCGGTAATTTCTCCTTATCTGCATATTTTATTGAAAATTAAAATCCTTTCGCGTTTTTTCCCAGGGCTCGCGCGGGAAGGATCTTTTCTCGCAGCCCCACTTGACTCCAATTAGTTGGGATAACAAAGCTGCCGCTGTCGGGGGATTATTGACAAATGCTCGAGGGGAAAAAAAAAAAGAAAAAAAGAAAAAAAAATAAAGTGTTGGGGGAGCTGGAGAACGGTCTGTTAAAATGACAACTTTTAAGGCTGGAAACAAAACCAGTGGGCCACGAACAGCGCTGGGGAGGCAAGGAAAATACCAATTCCTTCTTTTTTGGATGGCATTTCCATTGATCAGCCCCCTCGAGCCAGGATTTTGTGTCGCGATTCCCCCGGGTCACCACCACCACCAGCATCCCTCCCTGCATCCCTCTGGGAGCAGCAGCTGTGCAGGGAGGGAGCTCCGAGGGTGGAAATCCATCCCATCAATCCCATCCCGTCCCATCCCATCAGAACTCAAAATGTCCCTCAGACATTTTTGGAGGTTCCAGGTCAGGAGCATTTTAGACCCTGGCACAGCTGCAAACAGCTGTGATTTTGGGTTTGAGCCATGGGATGAGTTACCAACCTTGCAGGAAGAACAAGAAGTCACAAAAATTTAGATATTAGAGTAGAAGTAGTCACAAAGTAGAGGGAAGAATTTCTGAGTGCTGTACAGGGGGGTTTTTACTTTGTACATGGGGTCAGAAGTTTTAAGATGGAGGAATGTAGGCCAGTCCTGTTTCTCCTCTTTCTCCTTCCTCTCCTCCATGTTCTTGGTGATGTTGGCACTCACAGGTTGGTTTAGAGTAGAAAGGCACCATTTAATATAGGTAGTAGGCATTGGGGAAAACTGTAACCATGTAACACGCAATGTCCCATATAAAAGATAGAAAATCACCATTTAATACAGGTAATAGGCATTGGGGAAAACTGTGAACATGGAACGTAATGTACCATATAAAAGATAGAAAATCACCATTTAATATAGGGAATAGGCATTGGGAAAAACTGTGAACATGGAACACGTAATGTACCATATAAAAGACAGCAGCAGCCCTGGGCAGGGGGGAGAAGAGGAAGAAGAAGAAGAAGAAGAAGAAGAAGAAGAAGAAGAAAGAAGAAGGAGAGAAGGAGTCAGAGAGGATGTCAGGGTGTGTGTGTGCCTCTGCCTGAGCTGTGAGCAAACCACAGCAGCTCAAGGAGAAAATCTTTTAGATAACTCACAATAAACTGCCTTGAGACCCAACAACAGAGGCTGCTGAGCCTTTCCTTGGAAGCTCAGGTTGGAGAAGAGACTTTTCCACCACACAGGAGCCACCCCCGACCTAGGATGGTCTTTGGCCCATCCCATCCCATCCCAATCCCATCCCAATCCCAATCCCATCCCAGTTTCCTCCTGCTCCCAAATCCCGTTCCCATGGGTGCCCGCCGGCTCCTGCCCCTCCAAACCTGCTCCTGCAGCTGCGCCCCTGCACAAAAGGACTGAGGAGCATTGAGAGCAGCACAACTCCTTCACTGATAACTCCTTCATATTTTTTACCCCCCTCTTCTCCTTAATTTCGACTAAAAGAATAGAGGGGGGTAAAAAAAAAAAAAAAAAAAAAAAGAAGCGCGCTCCATAAAGGGCAGTGAGTGTTATCCCCGAAAAAAAGGGGGAAAAAAAAATCAATAAAAACCGCACAGAGCTTTTTTTCTTCCCTAGGTGGCTCGGACAGCTGGCTCTTTAAATATTAATCAGGGGCTCATTGATATGCAAATAGGGCGAGGGGGAATAATGCTGCCGCAGCTGCGCAGCCCCGGCCTCCTCTCCAGGATGAATGGGAATATCTGAGGACACAGGTGCAGGGATCCTGCTTAATTCGGGAATTTGGGAGCAATCTCCTCCCCCCCGACGCTGCCTGCCCACCGGACAAGGTGTTAATGTCGTGCTGTGCTGTCCCCTGGCAGCCCCGCTGGATTTTTGCCCCGACACTTGGCCACTTGGGAGGGATTATTTATTGTTCCCTTCCCAGAACCAGCGGTAAACAGGAAAACCGGGATGTGCAGCGTCCCTGTCCCCCAGCCCGGCTGCCACCTCCTTGTGACAGCTCAGCACGCGGTGGGACAGTCCAGCGGTGGCATCTGTGACTGAAACAGATTTTTAAAATTCACTTCAGTTGACAAAATGCATTATTTCTATTTTAGCTTGTATAATTATGCATTCTACTGATGAATTTTAACTTTTTATTTAAAGTCTGTTGATTTATTCCACCTATCGCTTCAGCCAGGGAGCTGCGGGTGTTGGGGTGGCACCTGCTGCCCCTCCTGCCCGATGCCCACCCTGCTGTGAGGAGGAGCAGAGGGGCAGAGGAAAGGCCAGCAGCTGCTGGGTGCCACCTCTGCGTGTCCTGGACAGGCTGGGGTGGCCAAGCTGGGCAACCTTGGCCAGCACCGAGTTCCTGCTCTGTGCTCCTGCGGGGACAGGGGGACAGGGGGAAGGTGGGGCAGAGCCCCGGGCAGCATTTCGGGTAACCAGGGCAGAGTCAGACACCCCAAAAACACCCAGAGGGCTCCACTCGCACAGGCTGGTGCCCCCTGGCATTTGTCACACGGCTGCCCCGTGGCTGAAATGATCCCAAAAAGGCTGATCCTGGAGCTGCTGGGGGAGGTTGGGATGAGGCCAAAATGATCCCAAAAAGGCTGAGCCTGGAGCTGCTGAGGGAGGTTGGGATGAGGCCGAAATGATCCCAAAAAGACCAAGCCTGGAGCTGCTGGGGGAGGATGGGATGAGACCAAAATGATCCCAAAAAGGCCGAGCCTGGAGCTGCTGAGGAAGGATGGAGCTGTGCTGGGGGAGGTTGGGATGAGGCCGAAATGATCCCAAAAAGACTGAGGAGCCTGGAGCTGCTGAGGAAGGATGGAGTTGTGCTGGAGGAGGTTAGGATGAGGCCAAAATGATCCCAAAAAGGCCGAGGAGACTGGAGCTGCTGAGGAAGGATGGAGCTGTGCCGGAAGAGGTTGGGATGAGGTTGGAATGATCCCAAAAAGACCAAGCCCAGACCTGCTGGGGGAGGTTGGGATGAGGTTGGAATGATCCCAAAAAGACCAAGCCTGGAGCTGCTGAGGGATGGAGCCGTGCTGGAGGAGGTTGGGATGAGGCTGGAATGATCCCAAAAAGACCAAGCCTGGACCTGCTGGGGGAGGATGGAGCTGTGCTGGAGGAGGTTGGGATGAGGCTGAGACATTCCTGGGATGTGCTGGCACCACGCTGCTTTGGGGGAATCTTCTGTCCCTGGATCTCCTTCACAAAGAAAAGCTTTGGGAGAGTGGGAAGCTGGGCCAGACAGGGAATAAACAGGGATTGGTGGCACAGAGTCCCCGAGCCAGGATCGGGCTCTTTTCCCCTAAAATCCAACTCCTCCCTGCTCCTGCACCATGCTGGGAGTGCTCCATTCCCTTCCTGCCATCATCAGCTGGGAAAATCCATTTTCCCAGGAATTCTGTTCTGTTTCCCTGTGCCTGTGGAAGAGCAG